GGCCTGGCCAAGGCTGGCCGATGACACATGGGCCCATCTGGGACAGCTTTTCCAACATGCAATTTTATTTATTTATTTATTTATTTATTTGAGAGGTTTTTGCTATAGGGCATGTGCACTTGCCAGAAAGACAGAGAGAGAGAGACAGAGAGTGAGAAATCACCCCCCCAGGGGATGGCCACACCGCAATCCCTTCTCTTCTATTCTCCTCTCAGGATCTTGGGCACGCATGCACACGCACCCGGTGTGAATTTAAGCCACTGGGTCCGGGACTTGAACCGTGGTCGACTACGTGGGAGTCCAGCAACATAGCCATTATGCTAACTGCTGGTACCCCAACATGCAATTTAAACCTCACTGTGCGTCCCACGTGGAGGGTGCTGGCCCTAAAAGGGCTCCCATGGAAGGAACGTCCGTACTTTGCAAAGGGAACCCTAGGTGTAGCGAGGAGGCATGTCTGCAAGGGAACTGGGCCTGGGTCTGGGGCCTCTGCTTCCAGGAAGCACTTTGCAGTCTGTGATTTTCCTTCCTTCCAATCGGCTCTGGAGGATAAAGACCTGACTTGTCATCTAAAGCCCTTCAAGTATGTGATGAATACCTGGAAAGTCTTCCCTTCTCTGGAAGATGTCTGTCCCCCTTCCTACTGAGGGAGTACCCTCCAAAGGAACAGGAAGTCCTGCAGACTCTCCCAAGGCTGTACAAAGAACGGCTCTCCCAAGCACTCAGAGCTTGTGCAATCAGCAGTAAGTTCTGCAGAAGGCAAGTTCAGTGCCGCCCGGAGCGAGCTCGGGGAAGACAGGCTGCCCGGCGCATGCCTGAGCTCCGCAGGCGCCTTGGCCCCTGGGGAGAGCCAGGCCGCAAGTGGCCGGTGTGCATCATCTTTAGCTCTGTGCTGGGACCAGCTAGCGAGACCCCGTGCCCCAGAGGTCAGATAGGCAGCACTGGGAACTCGACAAATGAACCTATGCTAATGATGCCTTAAATCTCAGCATCCCGCCCTGCCCTGGTGCTGCCTCGCCACCTGTGGCCACGGGAGCTCCTGGCTCAGTGCAGGCAGGGCTGTGGTCTAGGTTGGGGGCTTCCAGGGAGCACAAGGGGGGGTCTCACGGCTGAGCCTCTGAGGACGGAGCTGCACCCAGAATGCTGTGCAATGCTGGCCAATGGCAAGCGTTCAGTCATAATTTCCCCACTAGCTGGCTCATGGCACCCTCTTCAGAGACCACCCTCCAATGTGGCAGCAGCCTAGCCCCATGCAGCATAGCACCTGCTGCAGCTCCGTGACTCCCTGTGCACCTGTTCCCGTCGGCCTCCCTCCACCGTCAGCTTCCACGAGGGCAGGGCTGCGCCTGGCTGATCTGCTGCTGGTACATGCCTAGAAAATGGTACCTGGATCTCTGAGTGGGACACATACAAATGGAAACCTGTGGGAGCCAGCAGGTGGTGAGGTGGTTAAGGTTCTGACTTCCACATGGCTGACCATGGTTCAAATCCTGGACCCAGCAGCTTGAAAATCACTCCAGGTGTGTGTGTGTGTGTGCCCAAAACCCCAAGAGGAGACCGGAGAAGTGACTGCAGTGTGGCCCTCCACTTTGGGGGGTGATTTCTCACTTTCCTTCTTTTTCTCACTCTCATTGGCAAGTACACATGCCTTATGCCTAAACCTAGGGAAAAAAACACAAAAAACAAACCAAATGGAAATACGATCTGTCAGTCCATTATCTACGTGTTATCCATCAGCTACCTATCATCTGTCTATATCTTCTATCTCCTGTGATCTAGTATCTATCTATAATCTATCTATCATCTATAATCTATCACCTACCGCTCCTCTGTGACCTGCCCTTCCATTACCTGCCTGTCATCCATCTATTTATCGACAACCTACATCTACCCACGTGTCCATCCCCCCGTCCATCCCTCACCCACCATTTGTCTGGGTGGGGAGAAGAGGACATAAAAAATGCAAGTGGCATGTATGTTGCCCACGGTAAACCCCAGGAAAGGGTGAATGGTGTTCTCTGTTCATTAATTGTCATTTAGTAAGTTTGAAATAAGTTTGAAATTCCAAATGAAAAGTCTAAAAATTAACCCAAATTCAGTGCATCGAGATCACGCCACACCAGGGCCAGAGCTCCTGCATACACACGTGCCAGGTGTGAGTTCTAAGCCGCCGGGTCTGGGACTCAAACCACGTTCAACCATGTGAGAGTCCTATGCCCAACCACTATGTCCCAACATTTTCCAATAAAAACTAGAGAAAGAGAGAAGAAAAAATGAGACAGGCATAGAAAGAAAGAAAAGAAGAAAAGAAAAGAAGAAAGCAACAAAACTAGGTTGGCAAGATACCAAAATGAGGAGACAGAAATAAACAAGCTGAGCGAGTGGGCTGGAAAGGTGTGCATAAACCGCGCGGAGGAGCCTCTACTTCGGCCCGCGTGCCCCTGGCGACGCCCACGCCACCTCACCTGGCCGTGCGTCACTTACCTTGATGACGTCCTCATCCATGGACTTGCACTCCACTGACTCCGAGATATCCGTCACGGCACTGCTCTCCTCCACAGAGACCACCCTGATGGGCACGGCCACAGTCTTCCCTGTGAGGATGGCGGTGTTCAGAAGCTCCGTGTCCTGCCAACCGAACCAGACATGCAGGGTCAAGGGACATGTGCAACGATGTCGGATACCGGGCCATTCCAGGGGTCTCCCTCAGTCAAGGCTGCCCTTGTTCCGACAAGGGACACTGTGGCATTTCCCGTAGGAACTTGGGAAGGTCAACCCTTGGAACAATTTCCCAAAGATGTTCAACAATTGACTTCTGATTCATCTGTGAACATCTTCCTAGGCTGTAAAAGCAACAAAAGATTCATTCTTTCCTCTATGCAGAGGCCGGGCAGAGTGCACACATCACTTACAGTTTGGTTGTAAGCGACGGAAACTAAGTTGAGCCCTCGAGACAGAAGGTACCACTGTAAAGTGAATAATGTCTCTCTTTCACCCCCAGAGATGGCCACCTGTGACTCCCTGTGAACACGTTATTTCACGTGCCCCCCGAAGACTTTGCAATTGTAGTCAAACTAGGACTCACGAGAGGGGAAGATCATTCTGCACTATCTGGTGACTCTGAAATTCTAACGTCCTCACAAATGGAGCCATCGGTTCCAGAAGACGAGAAGATGCAGCAGTGGAGGTAAAACCAGCATGATGTGGCCATGACCAAGCCTTGGGGTGACCTCTAGAAACTGGAAGAGGCAGGAAACAGATTGACCCAAGAGCTTCCAGAAGAAATGAGGCTTGCTGCCATGTTAATTTTAGCAGCACAAGACTCATTTCAGACTTCTGCCCTCCAGAGCTGCGGGACAGTGAATTCGTGCTCCTGTGCTGTCACCGTCCCGGCAAGCAAACACAGACGCCTCCTGAACAGACCCTGGGTTGTTCACAGAGCCAAGAAAAAGCTATGAAGGCGTTGCAAGAGCCAGATCACCTTGGAGAATATCAAAAGCAGGAAATCATAAGTTGTCTGTCCAAAGCAAAGTTGGAACTGTCTTCAGCCTTTTCTGTTGGAGCTACTCTGTTCAGGATTTAAATTCCCCTAGGAGAAAGTCTGATTGGCCTCATTTGGGTCAAGTGCTCCTTCCTTATTTAGAAAAGGATCTGGATGCTTCGACAACAAAGCCTACCAAGACTGATTCCAACAAGAAAAAAGCAGTTCAAAAAAATCAGGCTCATGTTATCAGAAGAAGATGAAGTGGAGCGATTCCAGGAAGGCAGACAAGGACAACACACCAGCCGCAGGTGTCAACTGCAAGACCGACAGAGTGGGTAGTTCTCAGCCCCAAATGCCCGTGACCACCACACTGACGTGGACACCGGCATGCCGGGCTCCTTTCTAAGAGGAGATTTCATGCAAAGCAAGCTGCCTTCCTCTGTTTCCCTGGGCGCTCGTTCCATCACAGCTATGCAGATGTCGGCTGATCTCATCCACACTGACTTCATGCACAGTCGTGAGCATCATGCCTCTCATGCGTGGTTCAATCTGCAAAGTGACAAAGAAAACGCCTTCTTTTTCTGAGTGTGCAGGATAACAACCCACTTGTACTTTCATGACCTTCTCTTATGGCCAGATGAAGACCAAAAAAAGCCACTGGCATTGGGACACCTACTGACACCTTTTCCCACTGGGCCAATTTCTCTCCAAGTTCCTGCCCAGAAACACTGCTCCTGTTGGAAGCAGCAGATGCAAGGAAAGACATTCTCTCTGTTCTTTCTCCAGGGAAGTAGCTGACACAAAGATGATCTTCCGCATGAAGCAAGAACACGTTGGAAGAGTCATCAGGTACAAGTGGGGTCTCAGCTTTCTGAGGCGTGTGCCCCTCAGCCAGCAGTTAAATAACCCTCAGTCTGTCTTCTCCCAGGGCCATGGGATTCCGGGAGCTGGGGTGGCAATCTGGGCAGCTGGCAGGATGGCCATTACAGATGCGAAGAATACCACAGAAACTCCCAAGTCCATTTTCAGGTTCATTACAGGTAATGTGCTCAGAGTTCAGCCCTTACATACTCAGTCACATGGTCTTTGGCTAATAGCTTCATTAAGCAGTTCTCTCCCTCATGGATTAATTGTGATGAGTTTTCTAATGGTTGTTGGAGTTTAATACACACACACCCACACAGTGCACACACATGCAGTTTTTGGTTCATAGATGGCACCTTCTCTCTGTGTCCTCACATGGTGGAAGGGGCAGGGGTATCTCTCAGTCTCTTGCATAAAGACTCTAATCCCATTTAGGAAGGGTCTACCCTCACACCTAATCACCTCTGTAGACCCCATCTCCTAACACCACCCCATTAGGGATTAGGTTTCTTTTTCTTTTTGTTGTTGTTCTTTTGTTAGATTTTTTTTTTTGCCATGGGGCATTCACGCTCACCGGAGAGACAGAGAGACATAGGGAGATAGGGAAGTAAGAAATTACTCCCCAGAGGGGATGGCCATGCAGCATCCATTGTTCTCTTGGGATTTTGGGCATGCACACATGTGTGCCCAGGCGTGGTTTTCAATCTGTTGGGTCTGAGACATGAATCATGCAGCCCATGTGGGCTCCAGCCCCTTAACCATCATGCCATCTGCTGGCCCCAATGCCAGTGCAGGCATTTTTGGGAACACAAACATCCAGATGACAGCAGTACCCATGAAGACTCCCCAGTCACCGTCTGTGTTGTGCACACAGCATGTCTTGTCAGTGGGCACAGGGTAGACAGCAGGAGAAAGGCCATCCCTGTCCACACGGATAGACATGACACAGGGAACACGCACACAGGAGGTCACAACCATGGGTTACTGGACTCTCATTTACTCGTGGCCAAAGTCCAACTCAAACTGGCCTGCACCCTGCATGACTAAGTAGCCAAGAGAAGAATCCAGCTTCAGGGACGGCTAGAACCAGGAATTAGCATAAGAAACATGGTGACGGATACAGTGGTCCTGGCCCTGAGAGACACAGCTGTAAGCATGAGGACGCTTCCTGTCCCCTGTCCGTGGGATGAAGAGCAGGACAAGGCGGTCCCTGAGAATTCTGAGGCTGTGGAAGCCTTGGCATAATTTACGTGGAAGAGACGGGTCCTGAGTGTCTGTCCCTCTCCACCTCTGCCTCTTTTGCTCTGTTCAGCTTCATTAACAAAGAAGCTGTTTGCATATAGTGGCATCCCAGTTTCAGGGTTATCATCTCCCTGGCTCTGACCTATTTCCTCTGGACGTAAGTGACTGATTGGGCCGAGAGAGAGAGAGAGAGAGAGGTCTTCCACAGGGTCTTTGTGCTGGGATCCACCCTCGGCCTTGCAGCCAGCTGAGAACAAGCACACCCACAGGTGCAAGGCCTGGGACATGAACCCCGACGGTCTCCACTGTCAGGAAGCAGCGTCCCTACTGTCTGCACCTCTGTGGCTGGGTCAAGGACCTTCATCTGATAAACTGCCGTGTCCCCAGTGCGAGGACAGTGCCTGGCACCGAGCAGACACTCGACAGTGACTCGAGGAGTCAGTGCATAGCAGCCTCTATGACCATCTGTGCCTGCAGGGAGGTGAGGACTTCAGGAGCTCTGGTTGGACGTGGTCCTGAACTAGCAGCTCCCCATGCACAGAGAACTTTCTGAGTTCCCAGGGCCAAAGAGCCATAAGTACTGTCCCTTTCAGGGTAGGGAGCACCTTGGTGCCCAAGGACTGGGTCTAGATCCCTCTCTCTTCCATGTAAATTATGCCGAGGCTTCCAGAGCCTCAGAATTCTCAGGGACCGCCTTGTCCTGCTCCTCATCCCACGGACAGGGGACAGGAAGTGTCCTCCTTCTTACAGCTGTGTCTCTCAGGGCCGGGACCACCAAGTTTCTCATGCTAATCCCCGGATAGAAGCTGAACACAATTCTCTTAAGTGTCTAGCGCTTCTCAGAAGGTGGCACTGACAGCCTCACCAGTGATCCGAATGACCCCCACCTGCATGGTAAGAACAGGAGTCTGACTGTCTTCCAGTCCCTTTGGTCACGTGAAAGCGGATGGCGCGCTTGGTGCAAGACTGTCTTCCACAGCTCTCTGACATCTAACGGAGGAAGACCAGCTTGCCTCAGAGCCCCTGGCGGGGACAGAGTATAGACAGACTTAAATAATATCGCTTTTTTCCTTTTATTCTTAAGTTGCATTCAGTTTTTGGCAAGAGATGCTGATTTTCCACTTAGAATATACAGATGCCTTTTTAAACAGATTGAATTTGGTTCAAATCCGAGGCATTCTGAGGTAACGGTAAAAGTTGGAGGGTGACACCTGACATCGGGAAACACCTGTCTGTCTCGTACCAAGGTGACTCATCCTCACAGGGTAGGTGTCCCGTTCCACGCTTTCTTCAGTGGATGTTGTCAAGGGCTCTCTTCCACAAGGCCTGCTTCTCTTAACCACAACACATGTGTAAAACAAGCTAGGGAAGATCGTCATTTCCAGAGCCCCTCCTGGGGAGCTATGATTTGACACATGCCTAGAATGTGGTTTGGTGCATGATGGACAGTCAAAACACGGCTCTAGAGTCAACCAACGCCCTGTGGGTTCTGGGAGGCCACACTCATGGTCACTGCATTGTCTTCAAAAAGGCCAGATCCAGTCAAACAGAAAACTTTTTTTTTTGCTAAGTGGGTCATGAAGGTTTGCAGCCAGTTCTTTGCCGTGATGAGTCAGAGAGGAGGCACAGGGAGGGATGGGACACTGTCCGTTTCCTCACTAGGTGGTAGCTCACCGCTGGACCTGACCCCCAGCAAGGTCACGGGCCCAGGGCGAGCACTCGCTCAGTGAATAAGGGACCGCAAGAGAATAAACATGTCTGATGAGATGGGCCATGCAGATCCCTCATCCTTTCCCT